CAAAAAGATTTTTTAGGCATTTACAAAGTGCGCGCAAATTATTGATTATTAATAAGCAGTTATTGTAAACTGTTATCCAACGATACAAAACTTTTTTTTTTCAATTAAGTTAGTAAAATTTATTTACTCATAAAATATACGCATAAAAGAGAAGAAATTAAAATAAACGGAACTACAAAAAAATAAATGGCAAAATGACGTCTCATTAATATTTATATATTATTTTTATACTTATATAAATGGATTTAAGAATAGTAGAACTTTTTTTTTTTTAATTTGTTATTTAGGTGCCCCAAGAAGAGCTCACGGTCTGGTCACAGAGCACCGCGGAAGTGCATTTAACCAGGAAGTTCACGCTTCCTTCCTTACCGTGACGCGAAATATGCCCGAAGCTCGTTTCGTACCTGGATCTCCTGCTTATTAAGCAAGCGCTCTAACCACTGCGCCACAACCGCAAACATAAATTTTTAATTTATGGCCATCCAAATGTCTAATACCAACCACTGCGTCAATCTAATTTTTGAGATGTTTTTGGGGCAAAAAGTCTTCAATTAACTGGCCATCAAGCTTTATACGCATAATATCTTCTATAGTGTCGTCATTTAATGAAGGTCGCATAATATTTTTTTGTAAGTTCATAAAAGAAAAACTACGTTCACAACTTGCCGTTGAAGCGCTGAAAGTTAGAATAATCTCTTACAAGAAATTTATACTTGCGAACTCAGGTTTATTTTTTAGCAAGATATCTCTATAAATGCTTAAAAGTTAGTTTGTCCTTAGTCTAGAGACTTTCTCCATGTATAAAGGCCACTGCAATACACATAAGTTAGAAGTTTCTCTGCTTATCATATTATTGTTCTTATAAAGGTTACAAACACTTTTTATATCCGTATTTTTTTGGCTCTAGCAAACCTGTAAAGGATTTTGACATCTGTTTCGACAATCAAAGATTGTGATTAAACATTTTTAATGGCTCTTGATTGAAATCGCGGCGGAATCGCTTATTTTGTCCCGTCAATAATTTTAATAAAATATTTTTTATTATAATAATCAAAATAATCATTTGGTTGTTGCCTAATAAACTCATCAATTCTCTTTAAATTACGCTTTAAAGTTTTACGCTTTAAATTTACGTTTTTAAAGTTTTTGAAAATGCGTTTAAAATTTTTGAAATTAATTGTTTTTTTAATTGTAATTATGTGTTTTTTATAAGAATAAAAAATGATCAATCGCTTAATTTTTTGGAGAAAAAAATTACTGAAGTAACCCGTTTGTTTTGAAAAATTTTAGGCAAACGCCAACGTTTGTGTAAGAAAAAGTAAAGGAACGTGACGTTCGTTTTTCTGCCTTTTTTTTTAGCAGACGTTCGCACGTTCGATTTGTCGCGCCCTGATTCTGATGATAAAAATCTCTATTAAAAGCAATTAGAGACATCTGGTAGATTGGGATATACTACAATGAAGCTTGACAATCGTAAAAAGTACATCCTTCAAAGAAAATTAAAATTGGAAACGTTCCATCAATGCCATCAACTTCAGTTCTGAATGAATACAGAGATGAACACGAAAGTGTTAATTAGCAGTAATTATAAACCTTCAACAAATATTAATAAACAAAAAATTAAACAGAGGACTGTCAAGGCTGTTAAATTGGTTTGTCAAGCAAATCTAAGTAAATAAAAAGCTGCCACAGTGTTTCAACAAAAACAGATGGCTCATGTCAATCTTCCTGCACTTACTCAACTAGCAATCTAGGTTACGAGATAAACTCAGAAAAGAACTGAAGGTCAAGAATTGGTGTTTTCATTTTGCTGAAAAAAAAGATAGCTGAGCTGTTAAAGAACAATAAAAAAGAGATTATTCTGAAGGACTTCAAGAGCTTTTGAATGAATATGATTTATGGGGATAAAAATGAATGTGACAGACACTACAAATGTTAGCACTGGGAAAACAAGTGGCGTGATCAAAAGATTAATGACACATTTTGAAAGTGTAGGCTTTCATATGTTAGTTGTCAACACATTATATTAGATTGATCATTAAAGTTAATATAAAATAATAAATGTCTGGATGACTTTTTTTGGAGATAATACCAATTCACCTGAACTGTAATATTATTTTGTTGAAACAGTACGTTGTAAATATGACTGTTAAACATTAAACTTTGAAAATAGTGATATATAATTGAAGGAGAATGAACATAGATGGAATGATGACATGCAGTTTTTGAAGCATCTAATTAACGTAGTAAAATACTTTCGCAATAAAAAGAAATTTTCTAAGGTTAATTTTAAAAGTCTAGATGGAACTCCAGGACAATTTATTTTCTACTTGCTTATATTCTAATTTTTGGCAGTTAAGCTTGTTGAAAAATGGGCGGAGATCTGGATTTCAACCCAAATGTTTAACCCTGAAAAGAATAAGTAATTGGAAGAAGCCGTTAAAGAACATCCAAAGGCTATCAATACATTCACAAAGTTTTGGTGTGATATTCCTTCGCCTATAAATACACAAAGATCCAACATTTTTGCCGAACAAGCAGTAAAAGTTTTAGAAGATATCAAAAGTTTTTACAAATCCTTATAAATTTTGTATTTGAAATATTTATTATCAAACCACGATTAAAGCAAATGCAAATCTTTTTAGTTTATATAGTTTTATCAATATAGATTTATAAACATTTGTTGTTTTGTTAATTTTATCATGGAGGCATAACAGCTTCGCTATTATAACTTCTTGATTTTATCAATAAAGCTTTATTTACGTGATATATTATTTACGTGATATATTTATTACTTATTTGAACACAACTTGTTATTTTAAGACAAAGCGAAAAACATTTTACGTCAAATTACCAGTAAAGAATTTCTAGGCGTATTTCTTATGTGATTAACAGCTTTTGGCTCGGCTTTTTAGTGGGTCAGTTCATGATTTTTTTTTTGAAACATTATAAAGAAATTAAATTTTCGTAGTTATTTACAAAAGCTCATTATAATATAACATGTTCATTGAGTTTGTAAAAATGTTCTGCTCTTATTACGCAGTCTTATTTTCCTACAATATTATGAAAAAGTTAAGAACTAAATAAAAAATAAAAAAAATTCAAATAAAAATAATTTTTTTTCTAAAGATAATAAAATAGTCTTTCTTTTCAAACATTAAATAGAACATGAGAAAAAAGAAAAAAAAAATTTTTTTTGAAAATTAATTAATAGAACCTATAAAAATGCGGATTAAATATTTTGTGTTAATTATTTTAAATATTTGTTTTCGAGAAAAAGTTAAGAACCACAAAGAATTTTTTTGAGCTAAATGCGGATGAAACGTCTTTTTATAATTTATTTTTACCTTTTTTTTTTTTTTTTTTTTTTTTAAATCAGGCAAAGAAAAATCCAACCATGCCGCATGAATTAAGAAGGGAATGGAAGCTTTCAAACGGACGTCAAGCATTGGCATCACTTGTGTGTAGGAAACTAATAGCTAACAATATGTTATAGAAAAAAACTGTTCTAAAACCGCGACTCTTCAAACAACATATAAAAAAGCGAAAAGAATTTTGCCAAAGCATCAAAGAATGGTCTAAAGAAAAATGGAGGACAGTAATGTTCAGTGATGAGATAAATATCGACGTTGATAACCAAAAAAACCGAATTATGATTCGCTGGCAGCCTTCAGAAATATGTAATTTCAATTATATTTTTTAAAGAACAAAACAAGGTAGCGGGTCGGTAGGAATATAGTGATGCATGACATATTATGGTCTCGGTACGTTTAAATTATTTGATGGTTGACTCAACTCTGTTTATTACGTCGATATTATAAATAACAACTTGTTACTATCAATTGATGCACTTGAGCAAAGCGTTCCGTTCATTTTTCAGCAAGCCAATGCACTGTCACAGGGCTAAAATCTTCTCTGAGTGGTTCGAAAGCAAAAATATTGAGCTTGGCCACCAAATAGCCCAGATCTAAATTGCATTGAAAATCTTTGGAGTTGGCTTGATACAGATATTGCTAAGAAGTACCAAGGAGCCTTGAGGAGTTGCGCAATATTTTACCAACAATACTTGGAAATGTTCCCAAACAATTTTAGAGAATTTAATAGACTCAATGCCAAATTGTATAAATGAGTGCTTAAAAATTCATGGCGGTATTAGGTAAAAATTACCGTTTTTTGTTGTGGTTCTTAACTTTTTCACAACTTTTTTAAATAAAAATTACCTATAAAACTTTAAATACATTTTTTTAATTTGTTTAAAAGTTTTTGTCACTATTATTGATTTTTATTTTGTTTATCTCTTTTCTAAAATTTATTTTTTTTTACCAGAAAAATATATTCGATTAAATAAAAATTTAAAAATAAAAATAAATTATGATTTGTTTTTTAATGGTTTGTAAATTTTTTTTTTGGTTTATAATTCAAATAAAATTTACACGTTGCATGGTTAAAAAATCAAAACAAAGTAGATGCGAGAATCAAAACAAAATAGATGTTTATGAAAATAAAAAATTACAAAGGAAAATAAAGTAACAATATTAAAAGCTAAAAATTTTTCAAAACTTATTTATTTTAATTAAATGTCAAAAATCGCATTTGTTGTGTTCCGAAACCTTATAAGATCATATATAAACTTTTATTTATGGTTCTTCGGAAGTAAACTTTATCTATTTTAAAGACAATTGAACGGTATGAATTTAAATTGAATTCAATTGAATGGACTTCAAGTAAACAATAATTTAAATAAATATACAAAACAAATTAAAGAAACTTAACAAATAAAACAAACTATACTTTATTTAATTATAAAAATATCAACTAAAATTTGACATTTATAACGAACTAAAGTCATAGAGTAAAAAATAATTTTCATTCGCGGCCATTAAGAAACCAAGTTTCTTAATGACCACGTTAAAACATCAAGGCATACTTGATGAAAATTATTTTCTTTATATTGGTCATTAAATATTCTTTATTGGATTTTTTTTAAATAACCTTTTAAGTAAATATTAATTTGAGTTATATTAAATAAATTTGTTTTATAAATAAAGCGGCAACCCACGAAATTGAATTTCCTTGTTCGGAGTACAAAGAATTTTATGCCAACAATATATAGATTTTCGGCACTCGGTATCCATGTTTGGACCAAGAATTGTTCTACCAAAAAGTTCATTAGTTATTCTGTTTTTCTCATACATTTGAAGAAGTACGGATGTTCTATAGATTTCCGATCTTTTTTCATTGAATGGAACTGAGAAGCTAAGTTTTTCAAGAATTCTGATTTCATTATATTGTGATAGCGCTGACTCTGTCTTCAATGAAGATATTTCTACGCTTCCAACAAACAATGTTGCTTTTACAAAATACTCTGTATGTAAAACAGTTCAATTAATATTAACATAATATTAACAAAAAAAAAAATACTTTAAGCTAACGAATCAGTAACCGAAATACCTTTTCTGTTATATTTTACAGTACTAGCTGATAATACTTTTATGTTGATTTGATTCGAATTTGAATTCCACTCTATTGAGCCAGATATAGTTCCTTTTGGTGATAGCTGGTTCTAAACATGTACGTATATTTGTATATATATATATATATATATATATATATATATATATATATATATATATATATATATATATATATATATATATATATATATATATATATATATATATATATATATATATATATATATATATATATATATATATATATATATATATATATATATATATATATATATATATATATATATATATATATATATATATATATATATATATATATATATATATATATATATTTATAATATAAACAAATAATAAATTTATGTTCATATAAATATATATATATATATATATATATATATATATATATATATATATATATATATATATATATATATATATATATAAGGGGGCATCCATAAAGTACGTACGCAGTAAAACTACTGATTTAAGACCCCTTCCCCCCTTGTACGCTTTTGAAGACCCCCTCCGAGTACGTACGCCTTATTTTTTTTTCAAAATTAACTCGATTTCTTTTTTCTCTCGTTATTTATAAAAAATTTAAAAAAATTGTAACTGAAGTCAGAAAGAAAAATTTATTCCTGGTTTGTTATACACGTGAAATTCAAATTTTCTTTTAAAAGAAATAAAATCAAGTTTAGGAGAGATAGTCAAACCGCGTACGCACTCACTGTCTTTAACACCCCCTACCCTCCTTGTACGCGTTCGTACGTTTTTGGGAAACCCCCCTCCCTTATACCTGCGTACGTACTTTATGGATGGCCCCTAAGGGCATTTGAATCTCAAAAAATAATCAAAATATTTAACAGTTAATTGTTTTTGTTTTTTTTCAACTTTGAGCATATTATCAACGATAGTTTAATAGGGGTTGAGGTGGTTGTTAGATTCTTACCAAAAGTTATTCCCGGTACTACTGTTGACATGGGTAATTTTTTCCTCTCCCCACCATTAATGTCCAAAGAATTAAATGGATCATTAAAACAATTAACTTTTAAAGGAGTTATAAAAGTTCAAGCGTGTGTATGCGTTTTTTAAACTTTTACGTAATGTCATTGAAAACTATAGTTTATTCTACCTTAGATGAAGGATGAAACGGTTCTTGAATCTCAAGTACTTCAGATGTGCTTGTGATATCTTTTACCTTTACATGAACATATCCGCAAGCTAACAATTTGTTTCGTTTATTAGACTCATATAAAATTAACTTCATTACTAATTTTTCAAGATTTTTATTTTTTAGCGAAATTTTGATTGGTTCTCCAATTTTTAGTTCAGTGCTATCCTTGGAATTCTTCCGCTCTATGTTGTGAGTTGCTGTAAAGAAATTTTTTATGGAAGATAGATATTTCATTTCAAGTATAACCTCATAACTTTGTAGAATCTTTACACCTTGGAAACAAATGGGTTTATAATGAGTTGATAGGTCGCGTAATTCCACCAACACGCTACTTTCATATGGCAAATATTGGAAGATGCATTTTATGTTTGCCATTTGATCATTTACTATTTCACAAGGGGTTTCATAATTTGTTGCAGTTGTTTCACTGTTAGAATATATCTTCAAATCAAACTTCCCGAGACATGGTTCATCGTGTTTTGGTGAAAGCTTTATAAAAGAATATGGATAATAGCTTTCTGCAACAAAGTAAAGAAAAAAATACACATACTGTGGTTGCTGTTATAAAAAATTAGCAATAAATTCCTTTCCTAAGATCAAAAGACAAAAAAGTATATTTATTTATAAATCTAGTAAAAAACTGATTGTAAACTACTAAACCTTTTCCGTGAAAATGGATTTCACTTTTTAAAATTCCTTTAAAAGGTTATTCATTAGAAACTTCCAATCATAAAGGGGTTTTTAGAAAGAGAAATAAGGATAATATAAGGGGAGGGGGGAAGGTTCTAAGTAATTAGGAATTTTTCCAGCAGCAAATTTACATACAGTATATACTTTTATTGAAATACGCAATTATTACATACTTAGGACAGCACAATGTAACTTGGTTTTTTTTTATAAACATGTATCAGACAGTTTCACAAACACCGACCAGGCGGTTTGCTGTTAGTGGTGTACAAGGCTGTAAGCAACCACTATTAAGTTGGGAGTTATTAAAAAAAAAGGATAGGGTTATAGAGCAAGGAAACAGTTGACGAAAGACTTAAAAATTTGAAGGTTGTATGAGTTAGAAAAACATCAAGATGGAAGAGAGTTCCAAAAAAAATTATTTGGGTTGGTTCTTAAAAACGCATTTTAAATGTAGTTAGACCTGCTCTATCTGCTAAGATTGAACCTTTTTCCTATTGTAGAAAATTTGCACCTCTTTCTCGTTTTAAAAAATACTATCATGGTTACTGCTCAAAGAAGCTGTCATTTCTGGTTCCATCAACTAAAACTGTATCTGTCCCTGCATGCTCTAAAAACTTTTAATTGTCTAGTTTTTTTCCCCAACCTTTTGGAACCCTCTCTCATCTTCATGTTTTAATGACTCTTAAAACCTTCAAACCTTTCAATTCTTCTGTAAACTGTTTACTTGCTTAATAGTGGTTGCTTGCTTAATAGTGGTTGCTTGCACTTAATAGTGGTTGCTTGCAGTATTTTTGAGTGAACCAGAATTATTAAAAAAATTGATTTCCCTTCTACTTTCTACCCAACCCAACTGTTATTCATAATTACTTAATAACTTTAATGCTAATTTGACAATTTCGTATAAAAGATAAATTTATTTAAGATGATTAGTCACATTTTATTTTTAAATGTTTAGATAAGACCTAAAAATTAAGATACATAGAAACAGGTAGAAAAGCATTAGGCAAAGCAACAAAGTGGAAAATAATAGATATGAAGGATGACTCATCGGTCAGTAACAGAGAAATAGCAAAAATATTAAAAATTTCAAAAAACTGCACAAGACATACTCTAAAGACATTTAAAACAACAGGTGGCATCTAATTTTATGCAGGATCAGGAAGGTTAAAAAAAACTACAGAGCACAAAAATAGTCTTTTTTTTTAGTCAATTTCCTCAAGTATGAGCCAATCCAAAAAATTTCCTCAAGTATGAGCCAATCCAAAAAATTTCCTCAAGTATGAGCCAATCCAAAAAAATTTCCTCAAGTATGAGCCAATCCAAAAAATTTCCTCAAGTATGAGCCAATCCAAAAAATTTCCTCAAGTATGAGCCAATCCAAAAAATTTTCTCAAGTATGAGCCAATCCAAAAAATTTCCTCAAGTATGAGCCAATCCAAAAAGTTTCCTCAAGTATGAGCCAATCCAAAAAATTTTCTCAAGTATGAGCCAATCCAAAAAATTTCCTCAAGTATGAGCCAATCCAAAAAATTTCCTCAAGTATGAGCCAATCCAAAAAATTTCCTCAAGTATGAGCCAATCCAAAAAATTTCCTCAAGTATGAGCCAATCCAAAAAATTTCCTCAAGTATGAGCCAATCCAAAAAATTTCCTCAAGTATGAGCCAATCCAAAAAATTTCCTCAAGTATGAGCCAATCCAAAAAATTTCCTCAAGTATGAGCCAATCCAAAAAATTTTCTCAAGTATGAGCCAATCCAAAAAATTTCCTCAAGTATGAGCCAATCCAAAAAATTTCCTCAAGTATGAGCCAATCCAAAAAATTTCCTCACGTATGAGCCAATCCAAAAAATTTCCTTAAGTATGAGCCAATCCAAAAAATTTCCTCAAGTATGAGCCAATCCAAAAAATTTCCTCAAGTATGAGCCAATCCAAGGTTACCAACACTTACCAACACATTCAACAAAAACCATGAAAAACATATTTCTTCAAAAACAGTTTGACATATTTTACTAAGAAAAAAAAATAGTGTTTATACAGCTGTTAAAAAACATTTGCTTATTGGTGGTTTATTTTACTATTTAAGGTGGTTTATTTTACTATTTAAGGTGATTTATTTTACTATTAAAGGTGGTTTATTTTACTATTTAAGGTGGTTTATTTTACTAAAATGGTTTATTTTATCAACTTAACCACATAAATAGAAAAAGAAAAATCCTTGTTAAAAGATTTTTTTGTTGAGTCGTGTTTCAGAATTAAGAGTTAAAAAAGAATGGCAAATAAAAAATTTTTAATTAAAAAAAAAATTAGTAACCTCTGCAACAGTCTCCAAAAAGACAACATTCCATAGAAAAAAAAACTTTCCAAAAACTTTATATATTTTCTGATTTCTCGTTACTTTTTAGAATAGTAATTTATAATAAAGTCTATGATCATTTGGAAACAAATTTGGACTCTGGAAACAATTTTTTTATCTGAATTTGATTTCCAGAAAAACTATTTAATTTAAAGAAAAGTCAATTTCAAAATAGATAAAAATTAGACTAGTAGTCTTTATTATTATTATTATATTATTTAGAAAAGCCATTCTCTTAGTTTGCCTGATCTAGTTAAAAATCTTAATGAAATTATAAAGCAAACTTATTAAATCTTTTGCAATTCTTGTTAATAAAAAGTTATCTCTATTTCCCAAAAAATGTCCAATCACAAATTACCAAATCCTTTGGTATGTCTTAAAATTGCTAATATGTTAATAAACATAATTTCAAATTAACAAACTGCCATCTAATTCCTTCAACTTCACTAACAACAGCAAGTAACCAAAAAAAGAAAAACAACAAACAAACAAACAAAAAAAGTATACAAAAACATGCTTGCAGAATCATATACTTAAAAAGTGAACAAAGCAAAATCTTTAACGAATGATACAAAAATGATGAATGTGTTCGAAATAAATATCTATAACCATATAATTTTCATTTTTAAATATAACAGCTTCTCCTGAAAATTTTAATAACGATTTTATAACAAAAATAACTAGAGAAAAAGTGTAAACAAAAGTTTACAGTAAACTTACTGTACAAAAAAAAAACAAAAAAAAAAACAACCTAAATCAAAAAGAATTCCTATGTAACTTTATTTATAGTTTTAACTGCAAAGTTTACTTATGTTTTGTTAAATTGTAAATAGTAGATACCAATATTGTAAATAAAAAATATTTGATGATCAAAAATATTTTAATTTTTTTAAATTGGAATATGATTTTTCATGTCACAAAGTTTTCTACATTAATATAAAGTTCAAAACTTTCAGATCCACTCAAATTAACTTATTACTTCTATAGAATTATTTGGTTCATTTTGATAGTTTATAATTTTTTTTTACATGTAGATAAAAGCATTTCAGATTTTTCAGTTGCATTATATTCAAGATATAAAGTGGGGTTAGGAAATTTTATGCTTGGTTCTTTGTCAACAAAATGGTTGGAGCAAACAAGACTGTCTTGATGGTTCCCAAAGTTTTCTTTCTTTTGTTTTTCTGTTAATTAATTTTATCCAAGTGTTTTAACTAAGCTTGAATGTGATAGGGAATGCATACTACTGTTAGATTGGTAAGGAATGCATACTACTGTTAGATTTAGATGGTTTAGCTAAATGGCTAAGCTTTAATTTAATATTTTCTTGAATAAACATACAGAATCAGTGAAAAACTGTTTTTTTTGGTTATGAAGGTGCTCAGCAAGGCCTGTCGACTCTTTCGTTTTTACATACTTAAGAGTGTAATCGTATGCGCAAAGCATTCTGGGATGTCCTGGTAGTATAGAAATAAGTTCACAACAACAAACTTAGCTGAAACTCTGCAAAGTTTTCTGTTTTATATTGCGATATTCTTTAATAAATAATACTCTTCGTTGTTCAGAAATGCCTTCATACTGTGCTGCAACCAACTGCGCAAATACAAGTGGAATTGCTAATGAAAATTATCAAGTTATTTCAATGATTAACTCACTACTCAAATATAAAAGTTGTATTTTGTTCTTATTTCTACTGGTGCAAGATGAGATCTTGATGGAAAACTTATTGAAATTCTAAATAATGATTATTGTTTCTGCATCAATCATTTTGAAAGTTCAATTTTTATTTAACAAACACTGAGGGAAAATATCTTCTCCATAATGCCATTTCTACAGTATTTATGTTCTAAATATAGTCTCATGGCATCACATTCTGACGTTGTATAAAATAGACGAAGACGTAAATGCATTTCTATCCATCATGCACCAAAATTTTTGGAGCATTTTTGTATTAATTATTACTGTCAACTGTTATACTGACTTCTTATTGACCAACTAATTTATTGATAAAAATAATACTCTTTTTAATCTAATTAATTCAAAGAAATCTCATGCTGATAAACCTGCTCGATTTGATGTAACAACAAAGGAAAATAACATGTTACTGTTTGGGGTATCTCAACTTCGGATTAAGAAATGAATGTTTTGTGTTTCTGGCTCTGCATCATAAGACTCTGCATCATAAGGCTCTGCATCATAAGAGAATAAATGTTACAATAACTAGCATACTGAAATTATGTAAGGAGCTTCGAAAAAAAGTTTAGTTTTTAACTCGAAAAAAAGTTTAGCTGTATATTCTCATCTCACTTCAAGCAAAATTATTTAGAAAGTTTGATCAAAACTATTCAGAGCAAAGAAGGTTGAAATGATAGACATTCGAACAATTTGGATAAGCTTAACTGAATGTTTAGTTGTTGTTGTCATTAAAAAGGATTGTCTTAAAGAAATAGATTTTAGCGTTGTACTGCATATAAATGCTTTATTTAAATATTTACTCTAAAAAAACTAAATAAACAAAATTTTCTATTTTTTGCTGACAAAATATCAATTCAACAGGTTTACTGTTCAATTCTTGGAAAGAAAACTATTGTACAATGCATGCAGATTTTTCTAGCTTGTTAAAAAAGGTGTCTGACTGTGTCAACAGTGTGTGGTAATACTTTGTGGTGAAACGATGGATATTAGGCATGGTTTAGAGACCAATACAAACTGAGACAAACCGCCAAAATTATTTACCAAAATCTTTATTTATATCATTGATTTGTTATATTCTATTTAACATTATTCATGGAATTTATTGAAAAGTGACTTCATACTAAAAACCTAGCTTTTTTATGTTATTTAAGATCATGGAATTCTGTACTTTTGACATTTTATTTAAAGATTTTTTTAACATGCTTTTTTACTTACAATAAAAAAAATTTGCATATTTGTCAGAACAAGAATTTTTTGCTTTTATTTGTTAATTATTTAAAAATTTTTTAAATAATTAAAAAATTTTAATATTGATAATTATTAAATAATGCCTTTATGTTTTTCTTTTAACAAACAGTTTTGGTTTTATGAGTTAATCTGTGTGTATATACATACATACATACATACATACATACATACATACATACATACATACATACATACATACGTACATACACGGCTAGGTGTACATACTGATTCAAATTCGCATATGTATGTATGTATGTATACATACATACATGCATACATACATTATGTATGATTGTATGTATGTATGTATGTATAAATGTATGTAAATACATACATACATTTATACATATATACATGTGTGTGTGTTTAAACTTGAATTGATAATGATAATTTAATGTGTAATTATTGCATAGTAATTTATTTTATCAAGTTTCATTTGAAGATTTTCAAATTGGCTTATTATTATGACCCGATAAGCTTTATTAAGACATGATATACTTAATATTACACTGTATTATTGCTGCTTTTTTGAAAAATGTTTTATGAGAAACCTATTATTCTAATCAGAAATTTTTTAGAATTATGTCAAATTAGTATAAAAAAAAAAGATTAATTCTATGAATAGTTTACAAAATAAATTAAGAGTAATCAATTACTGACAGCATTTGGGTATTGAAAACAACGTATTTATTTGTTTTTAAATGTTATACTACCAGGGCATCCCACAATCCTCTGTAAACAAATTACATGTTTTTACGCGAGTCGACAGCGCTTGGTGCTCAGCCACTGCATACTCAGCCATATCACTCACAGCTGTTCATTTTTAGCATATTATAAAAGAAACAATAAAAAGATTGCAATGACATATTGTCAATCTTATATTCATTGAGCACTGGCAATTTTAATTTTTTGTTTTTAGAAAATTTATGCATATAACTTTTTTAATTAAAACTATATTAGCAAAAGTTATATATATTTTATGAGAACATCAAACTTTTATACAAAAACAAAAGGTTTTGTATTTTCAGAAAGATGATCATAATATACAAAATTTTTAATAACATTAAAACATTAGTATACATAAACTCGATTTCTTTACTGTTATTCTAACCTATAAAGGTCTTTTGTTCATTTTTCTTTTCACTATGCAAAAAATACAGGGCTCAAGATATTTTAAAGATGTATTCTAATGTAATACCAAAAAGATACCAATGTTTGCGAATGCAAAACTATTATCAAATGAAGACATTTTACAATATTTTCTATTCAAAGTTTTTTTAATAATTTTTTTTAAAAAAAAAATCTTATTTCCTATAACTTTATCTCTACATCATTTAAATAGAACAAATATCTTACAACAATTTCAATAAAAATTCTTAGAGTTTCTATAAATTCTAATAGAAACCCTGCAGCAATTTATAGAACTTTTTGTCCTGGAATAAGTATACATTTTAAAATCACTTATATATTTTAGTCTTACCTTTTTGTGGAAGCATAAAACTAACTGATCTTTCTTTTACTTTCTCTGTTTGCTCTGCAAAAAATATTGTTAGATAGATGTATAATATGGTTAAAAAGATAAACCTTCTTTTATTTCCTGCATCCAAACATCCTAGAGCATAATGATGTAAAGGGTGTTTCTAAAAAAACTTTTTAAACTTATATTTTTTTTAGGGAATTTAAAGCCATTATAGTAGAATATTTTGAGATAATGATAGTGGCAACACTCCTTGGAATTAACAAAAAGTTTTTTGTTTTTATAAAGATGATCATAATATACAAAATTCCTGTTTGGAATACAACATCAGCACTTAATTCCTGTTGGGAATTAAGTGCTGATGTTGAATTTTTGTAACAGGAGCTTAGACATGCTTTCCAAATCAAGGTAAGTGGACTGTAAAACTATATATTTAGCCTAAAAAATCAATAAAAAAGTAACCTTGCATAACTTTTGCTTTGAACAAGTCATTTTTAATCATAAATTCTCATAACAAACATGACCTCAGTTTATGTTTCATCACACCTTTAAAGATTATAACCTATAACTTAATTCTTTCTTTTGTTGTGATGTTGTTTATTTCAGTGATTTACAACTTGGGGTTACTAAAGCCACATCATAAAGGTGGCTTTTGTTACCCCCATACTTTTTGTGTGATACCATAATAAGTCAAAATTAGGACTACAATTTGGCCTCAAAACCCAAAGAAGAAGCTTGGTACTCAGAGGTATAAGGATTAAACAAATGAAATGGTGTAATTAGCTGTAAAAGAAGTGAAGAGTCATTTTTAAGAAAGGCTGATGAAATATTTGGTACATCAAGATTTGTTCTCACTCCTGCCCTGAATGGTACAAATGGTAAGGTTAACAAATGCTGATTCTAAAATAGAAGATTAGTTGAACAACCCTTGAAATTAGGAAAAATGAGGTCAGCAATAATTTGCCAACCTCAATCTTTTAGAGGTTGGCATCAGGTCGACAAAAAAAATTGATACAAAGGTCTTACCATAAAACATAGAAACAAGGTCGGCAATACTTGCTGACCTCAAACACTTTTAGGTCGGCAGTTATGTTGGCATTGCTGAATGCCGACCATAATTCCGAGGGTTGGTTGAATGTATAAGCATTCAACTAATCTTATGTCTAGTGCCATAAGAGGAATTCTCTCTTATTTTATTACACATAAGAATAATAGTCAAAGATTACCTGGATTGTTACGACCAAAATGAAATCAGGTTAAAAAACAATATTGCAAGTCTTTTATTTCAAATTTATTCAAATTTTATTGACAGTTTTCTCAAAAGAAACAGTGAAGATCTTTCCAAACAGTTGGGCCAAAACTAGTGGTAGGATTTGACTGGTTGGCACCCGTTCGGTAGAACCGCTTTCTAAAAGTTTTGTAGTTTGCCGAACTGATTATTTAATGATATTTATCTGATTAAACATAGCATAATATTCTTTGTGAAATAAAGCATATTTTTATTCCAATATACTCATGACGTGCAATAATTATGTGATTAAATTAAGTACTTTGGTTTAATTTAGAAAGTTTTGTATTTTTTATTATATAAAAACATATCAATTGTGATTCCAAGTTTGCAGACAGTGAAAATTATTCATAACACTACAGTAAGTTATTCGTTGATTTTGTTTTTGCGTAACTTGTGCTTATGTCTTCTTGATTTTTAATTGGGAATTTAACCATTAAGTAATAAGTAATTGTATTTAAACTTGCAGTAACCTATAAAATTAATGCAATGAAAAGGCAACAGCGTGTGATAAATTTTTTCATCAAAAAACCTATTCAACTTCAAGAAAGCAGCACATCAATAATTGAGACAAAAACTGATAATACTGAAAATAATCTTCCTGAATGCTGGTCTGTACAACAATACCAGAGCTTTAAATACAAATATGATGGATTGATAATTTCAAACAAGAAGTTGCGTTACAAATATTGTGCACAATATGATTTTACAAGCAAAAAAAGTATTCACACTTTAATAGAGTAATAAAATTTTCAAATTGACATCAGGGAAAAATAAAGAAATACAGCAAGCTTCTCTAAAAAAGAAAATGAAAGAGCATTTTTCATCAACAGCCCACAATATTTGTATAGAGAATTTAAAACAACTTAAGCAGGATTCCATATCAAAAGCAATAGATATGATGAACACAAAATATTTAACGACTACTTGTAGAGCATTTAATACAATTTACAGCCTGACCAAAAGATCTAAACCATTTTCAGATGTAGAGGATGAGATTGAGTTACAAATGAAAAATGGACTAGACATGGGAATAGGATTACATTCTCTTAAAAGCGCTGAAGTAGATGTCATTGCGAAGGATATTAGAAAAGAAATATTTAATAAAATAATTGTAAAAAATCTGTTTCATTATTGACAAAGCATCTACAATATCTTGCAAACCAGTCATCATACTCTATTTAAAAGTTGAGGATTCAGTAGCACCAATAACAACTAACAAATTAAATTTTCGTTGAACATTTTGAATTAGAAAAGCAAGATGCAGAATATGAAAATTAAATTGCAAAATGCAGAATATGAAAATTGAATAGCAAGATGCAGAATTAGAAAAGCAAGATGCTCTTCAGTAATCAAAAGTTTAAATAATGTTAGAATTACTAATAACTACTTTGAAAAAAATTTGATTGGATTCTGTTCCAATGGCACCAATGTTATGCTTGGAAGAAAATCTGGAGTAAGCATGATTATTACAATACAGTTTCCTAGCATAATTATATGGCACTGTTTAAACCACGGCCTCCTGTTTATTTTAGATGATTCTATAAATGAAATAAATCAAGTAAGTCATTTTAAAATTTTCATTGATAAGCTATATACTATTTTTCATTAGTCTAATAAGAACCAAACTGAACTTTCCAAAATATCAGAAGAACTTGAAATTGATTTTATAAAGATTGATAAAGTTTTTAGACCCAGATGGGCAGCCTGTAGTTTAAGAATGGTCCTAGCTGTTTGGTGCGCTTATCCAGCACTACATAAGTATTTTCATTCAAATAAACAGTTCTTGGGCATGGCTACTTGTCTTGAAAATATATATTTCTTGAATGATTTAAAATTGATGGTTGATATTTTAAATAAATTTTCACTTCTTTCAAATGCATTCAGGCAAGGAAATTAGTTATAATAAATGGTGAAAAGCTTTATTAAAGATTTCAAATGCTTGAAAAAAATGGTGAAAAGATTTATTAAAGATTTCAAATGCTTGAAAAAGAATAGGATCCATATGAAAAAAATATTGATGTACTAATTGCTTCAGTTTTGCCAACATTTACTGAGATTTTTAAGTATCAAACTGATATATTTCATTATAGAGATTTCATGGAAAATGTTTTGAAAAATTCCCAGAATTCTGCAACTCCTGACAGTGTTCAAAAAGCTAAAAATATGGCCGTAACAATTGCTTTAAGTTTTACAGAAGCGGAAAGAGGCTTCTCAAAAATGAACTTAATATCCTCAGATAAGAGAAGTCGCTTAACTGTGTCTAATATATTAAATATAATGATTATTAATCTCATCGGTCTATCTCTGAAGAGTGGGATCCTGTTATTGTAGTGAAAAGTTGGCTCAGAATTAATCACTTAGCCTATGATATAGGTCTACAATTAGAAGAAGCAACTTATGAAAAATCCCCCAAAAAAGGACTCTCTAAAGAAGAATTTAGACCTGATGTTTATTTCATTGTTGAGCTCATCTTTAATATGAACACAAAAAAAGAAACCATCAAACAGTTATATGGAGTTTTTCTTAGAACTTGTTTTTGAAGAACAAAGTTACAGTAAAATTTTTCAGAAGAAGCTCTAAATCAAAACGAAATGACTATATATTCCCAATTGTTGATGACAAAATGGAGTTAACAGATGTCATTTCAAGTGTGCAACCATCTAAAGTAATTAATGTTATACTTTATTTTTTCAACTAAACCACTGATTTTTACCTATTTTATATAAAACTTTGATTTCTTTTTAATGTTTTTTTTCTTAAACAATAAAGCTTTTTTTTGTAAATAGTAATTATGGCTACATATGTCTGATATAGTTTTTGTTACCCTAGCACTCACTTACTAAAGCCAAACATTGATTTTAATGGGTGGCTTTTGCTACCCCTTTTCAGGAGTAACTAAAGCAACCATGTTTTTAATTTTAAAAAATATATATTTCTTCAAATTGATAAATATATATCTTTTATTTATTGACCCAAGTTTTGCAATATTTATTTAACCTATAAATTAAAGGGACTTGGGCACAAGCTTGATTTTTGAAAGTGGCTTTAGTTACCCCCATTTACAGTACTTATATTTTTAAACAACGGCAATGATGAGTAAAATATTTTTAAAAGCAAAGCGCAACACTCATAAAAAGTCTTTAAAAATTTTTTAAAAGAGTATTTAAGAACCAATTAAAAATAATGTTTGATCTGTTAAATATTTAAGATTCTGCAAAAAAATTCTAGATTTTTTTTTTTAGCACTTAAGAATTTAAAATTTCAAGTAAAGATTTTTTTTCTTCAAATGAGAAAATTGCAAAAGACAATTTTTATTATTTTTAAAATAAAAATGTTAAAAATCAATTTAATATTTTTAAGACTAAAAATGTTCTTGAAATGCTATATTAAAATCTAAAAACAAAAATTAAGTTATTATGTTACCTAGATTTGGAACAGCAAAACTTTTTGATCGATAACCAGGTTTTACAAAATGATTTCTCATATCTGCACCTTCAAAATTAACAATAAAAAAAATTTAAAGGAATTTAAAATCAATTAAAGTTGATTTATCATACTTTACAAAATATAGCTATAAGTATACATAAACACCCATAAGTTTGAACTTGTTCCATAAGAAAGAATTTTAGGACCTCTGATATATAACTTAGAAACTATTTTTTAAATTCTTCTTTTACTACTTTTAACTTTATTATTTAATTTCTTTTAATAATTGTAATAAAAATTTTTTTCATTCTATGGTAATAATAAAATCATATATCATCAAATCAATAAAATCATTCTGCAAACCTAAAAGATAATAGAATTTCCTAAAAGTGACAAAATTGTTAATAAACTAACCACTTTTTAAAAATTTAGAGATTTTCTACATAACTATCAGATTGAGTATTGTTTGTACTTTAAATTTAATGGCACCATTGTATTGTTTATTTGATTGCTATGATTACCTGAAATCCATAGCAACAGCACTTTTTACTTAGTTACAAAACTTAAGAAACATTTTTGAAAAACCACAGTTATAAACAAACTCATATAAATGCTACAGATTAAAAACTGCAAAACTGTTTTTTATGTATTTAAATGGTCACACACACATAACAAGTAAATTCACATAAAAAAAAAAAATTAAATACAAAATATAAGATAAAAAAAAAATACTATTACCTAATAAACTTGAACACCAAAACTTGAATAAAGTGATATGACTGATTTAAAGACAATGAAGTGGGTAATCTTTGAGTAGCTTTAAAAGTACAAAGATTATTTTTCTTTGGATGATAAGGAAGTATTTTGTTGTCTGCGATAAGTAGTTTGTTTTCTAATTTATCGCAGGGTCAAAAAAACAACAAATTAAAATCTTCATTTGTTTATTTGTTTTTAACAGTGAATACTTTATGGAAAACAAATTTCATAAGATTTCCTAAAATTTGGCAAAGTTGATCTCTCTATAGCTTGCTAACCATGAATAGAAATGTTAAATAAAATTTTTTTAATAAACAGCAACAACTAACATCTTCTTCACAACAATATTGAATTCCAAAATTTCAGCAATTTTATAAGCACTGTTTGCTCAGAATTCAGAACATATCAAAATCATTTCATTGCAAAACCTGTTTTGAATCTGTTCTTTTTTAAAAATTTTCTTTCTTGAATATCATTTGCGTTTAGGTCCAACTAAGTTTACAATGCATAAAAACGCATTGTAAACTTAGTTGGACCTGCTCTTGCAGCCAACCTCCAACCATTATCACATCGTCATAATCTTGATTCTCTTTCTTTTTTCTTTTAGTACTATAATGGGCACTGCTATAAAAAGTTAGCATTCTACTAAAATTCATTCTCATGTTACTCGTCATTCAATTAAGTCTCATACTTTTACTGTAACTGTTTCTAAGTGCTCTAAAAATTCTTTTTTATCTAATTTTTTTCTTCGAACATCAGTCCTTTGGAATTTGCCTCCTTTATCTTATTTTCCTAAATCATATATTTAGGCCCAAAATGCATTTTAAATATTGTTGGAACTGTTCTAGCTGCTAAGCTTGACCCTGTTCCATTGTCATAATGTTGCCTTTTTTTATCTTTTCTACGAATGTTATCATGTCTGCTGCTCAAGCAACATATAATCTAAATCTCACAAAATTCACCAGTCAGCACAAATCACATACTTTTAACTTAACACTCATGCTCAAAAAATCTTTTATTTATTTAGTTTATATTTGTTTCAATTCTCTCCTACATTTATTTGCAGTTAGCAAATTTGAATCATGGGGAAAATTAGAGCTATTTCTAACATTAATGTTAAAGAGTTTAGGACAAAGTTCACTTCTCTGAGGAAATCCACATGACATTTGAATCAACTGGGTAACTTTATTAGAATGAATGACTCTCTGTTATCTATTAGATAAATAACAGTAAACTACAATATAGAACTCAAGCTGCAGTCTTTTTTAAATAGTTTATTAATAAGAATTTGATAAGGAACGAAGTTATATGCATTAAACAAGTCAATCAGAGAAGCATATAAAAGTTTAAAGTATATACAAAAACATGCTTGCAACTAAATTTCTCTTTGAATCCCTATTGCTCTAGAGAGAAAGTGTTAATTTTATTTCAAAAACATGCTTGCAACTAAATTTCTCTTTGAATCCCAATTGCTCTAGAGAAAAAGTGTTAATTTTATTTCAAAAACAAGTTCTTTAGCTACTATTTTTCTAAAAATTCTTTCTAATGCATTAAGTATTTAAATAGATTTATAATTCTATGGCTCAAATTTTAAACTTTTTTTCCAGGCTGCATCTATATTAACTCTTTTTAAAAAATTGAAGTGCTTGGCATAATAGCAAGTTTTTTTAAGACCTTTCAAGTTTTTTTAAGGCCTTAAGTTATTTTAAGCCCTTTGTAGCAATTGTTAACTACTTTATCAATTTTTTTAAATTTTTCTGAAAGAAAGTACTTCTTTTTGGAATTTCAACAACAATGAGGAAGGGGGAAGGGGTGAATCCCGCGACTGGCTTCTAAAAAAAAGGAAGACCTCACGACTAAAATTTAACCAACTGAATGGTGTCCATACCCGACTAGCCGTAGAAAAAAAAAACCACTATAACATGAAAATCACCATTTTTGGTGATTTCAGCTTATAGTCCCCCCTCCCCCTCACACACACACACACACCCGTAAATGCACCTCTGCATAGGGGAGAAAATTTTGCCCACGTTTTTTTATTTCAAAAATTACACTTTTTTTTTTTTTAATTATTGTAATTTAGATAAAAGGTCATTTTAAAGTACCACCTTTAACTAATTTTTAAACTATTTTAGTTTTCAGCTGAATTTCATAGGAAGCACTCTTCCTTATTCTTGAATCAACTGAATCAAGAATAAGGAAAAGTGCTTCCTGTAAATTCAAAAAAAAAAATTATCTACTTTGGTGTTTCCAAACAAGGCTTCGTCACCTCACAAAACTTTAAGACTGATTAGTCTTACAGTTTCCTGATTCATATAATTTGCAATCTTTTAAGTCGTCTGATGTCTCATAGTGTATTCAGTTGGTTAAATTCTGAATTGACTCGTGACAAACCTGTAAAATGTGAGGGCAATGTGAAATGCTAATCCAAAGAAGGCTTCAAATATTTGGAGAATTGGTTGAGGATTATGCGATAAAACTAAATGTTACATGGGTACCAACAACAAAAAATATCGCATATGAACTCACACGAATGCCAACAAAATGGATAAAAAAAAACAAAGTTGCGACGCAAAAATGTAATATCATCTATAAGCACGATTATCAGCAGATTAAAAAAGTTCCCTCGATAGCACACATGGGAGTTTCCAAGAGTATGAAGTTATGCTACGCCTAAATACAAACGCCTCCGAATTCTTGGAATCGACAAAGTAGAATCAAAACAAAAGTCTCTGAATAAGTGACAGAGTGAATGGAAAGTTGGCGATAAAGTGTGGGTGAAGCCTAAGTATATGACGCCATGTACTCAGCGATGGTTAAAAAGAAGTATAGTAGCACTGCTTGATGATTTAACCGCTGAAGTTGAAGTCAACGGACATATGTTGCCACGACATTTTTCACATCTGCAGAATCGTCGTGTAGACAAAAACGAAGAAGATATAACAACTGATGACGATTACCATCCGACACTAGTTAAACCTCCCAAAACGAACTTAAAACACGTCGCAATCGAAGATCCAAGTTTTCAAATAAATTCCCTGAACGACGGCGAAGATGACAATAGTATGCACCGCGCTGATCAAAACTATCCGACAAATTGTAAGACAGAGTTTCAGCCTGTTCGGTTCACTCGCTATGGGAGAAGAGTACTTCCTAACCAAAAGTATCACGATTATGTATGAGCACAACATCTCCCCCAGCTTTTGTTGAGCTGGGGGAGATGTTTTGATTTTAATGTGCGTCAATAATTTATCAATAATTAGCTTTGCTAATTATTGACAAAAGTAACACGTTGCTTATTTTTATTATTATAACGTTTTGTATATTGACCACTCATTGTTGACAAGAGTCACAAGTTGAATTTTAAATACTATATATAGTGAACAAATTTGTTGTAAAAACGTTGATATTGTTGGTAAGTAATAAAAGCATTAAAAACAAAATGGCTTTTAAATGCGTTGAACAACAGGAAGTTCAAGTGATAATATTTTTTATTATTTGCCATTGTTCTAAAAATCAATTGGTTCAAATAATTAATTTATTTTTTCAATATTACATTATTTATTAATAAAAAAATAAATATTTATTTTAAAAAAGATTTTTGAAAAAGCTTTAAAAACTAATGGAAATTGCTGGTCGTGCGACAAATACTGCAGATGTTGTTGCATGACAGTTGTCACACGACTGTCGTGCGACTATATGAAAACTAACCTTTAATTAAATATCAATTAAATAAAATTGATAACGCAGTAAATGTTTGTTTATCATTGCTAATTGTCAGCTTTTATGTTATTTTTATTGTAAAATAGCTTCGTCTCAATTTGTTACTTTGTCGCAGAAAAAAAAAAAAAGTTTCAGTTAATCCTACAGTTAAACGGCCTAAAATATTTCGCTTGAATTTTTCGCTTTTTACGCTTTCGTCAGGGGAGACTTTTTAAACATAAGGAATATTTATCGAAATAATAAAAGAAAAAAGATTGCTTCCTCACGCCAGTCTCTCTCTCTCTCGATATTAGTCTCTTTCTCGAACCCGATGTAACAGCACACTCTCTTGAAGCAGCAGATTGTAGCGAAATCTTGTAGCAAAATCTTGCAGCAAGATCATAGAAGATCATGTAACAAAAAAGATTGATGCTCCATACCAGTCTTTCTCTTGATGCGAGTCTCTCGTTCATGCCAGTCTCTCTCTCAATGCTAGTCTCATGCTAGTCTCTCTCTCGAACCCTCAGTCGTTGTAGCAACACATTTCAATGTAGCAGCAGGCTATAAGATAGTTGATGTATGTACTGAAATCAATAAACATTCCTTATGTTTAAAAAGCCTCTACTGACAAGAGCGCAACAAGCAAAAAAATAAAATTATTTTAGGCCGCTTTACGAAGTTTCAATACGCAACGTCACGTCTCAACTGTAAGTTTTTATTTTTATTTTTTGAGACGTAACGTAACTAAAATAAAATTAGTAAGTTTTTAAAAAAAAACTTTTTTAATTACAATAGTTTTGACAAACGTATTAATGCGTTTACAATATTGTTAATAATATTGTTAAAAAAACAATTTTGTTAAATACAGTAACTCATTAATGAGTTACGGTATTTATCAATCTGTTTGTCTGTACATTTGTAGTTAAAAAATTTTTTTTTTTAATTGTTTATTATCAGCGTTTGTTTTCATTCTTTCGTCTCAATTAATTACTTTATTATTATTATTATTATTTTTTTTTTTTTGACTCGTTTGTTTTTTTAAACATATAAAAGTCCAACTTTAAAAAGTGTAAACTGAGACGTAAAGTAACGTATATTTGAGACGTATTTTAATTACGTCTCATCTTTTTTTGCACACTCATTTTGCTCGTAAAGGTGAGTTTCCACTCATCCGTTTTTTTACGGGAACGGGATAGGAAAGGAAAAAATAATCACGTGAGCATGCGTAGTTTTACTTCGGACAAATTAAAACTTATAATACGCATGCCCACGTGATTATTTTTCCCGTTCCCGTAAAAAAACGGATGAGTGCAAAATCACCTTAACGTTACGTTACAATATTCGTATCGTTACATAAAATGTTACGTCTCGGTTACGTAAAGATAACAGACATTTTGCACGTAAAACAATAAATCTTGTTTATGTTTCAATATGGAATGTAACTTTAAAATATTATAGGGGTTTTTAATTGGGATAAAACTTTACTACTTGTTAGTAAGACAAGGGGTGTAGAGAAGCATATTCACCTGAATCTCTTCTATGATCTATGCGGCACTTTTCACAAAATCCCGTTACCACTAAGGATCATTAGAATTAATTTCACGAGCAAAACCTTTTTGTAAACGTTCAAAAAAAATTAGTCATCTCTCTGTTCCCAGTGGGCACCGGACCAAAAAAAGACGTCTTTTGAACGTTCAAAAGACGTCCAAAACGTGTATAAGACGTTTAAAAGATGTCTTTTTTACGTCCGTGTCCACTGGGTTGGCTATTTATAAGCAAAGAAAACATACAGATTTTCTGCATGATGTTTGGCGTTGTTTGGCGCTTTAAGAGAATAAAGTAAGCTACTTAAATGTTTTACTATTTCTCAGCAAACTTTGTGTGTTAAA